AAAGTCAAATTTTTCAATCAATGCTATATTCAAAAGTTTAGGCTCTTTATTGTTTATTAGAAGTTATCTTATCACATTCTAAATTTATATTAATGTATGCTAAATGTATTTTCATGCTACATGAACATCGTTTCTAAGTTCCATCAGGTAATTTATTTAAATTTCTTATACCACTTAATCAGTGGGCAAACTCTCTATAAAAAAAAAATTCTATTTTCTAGAGAAAAATGAACACCTAAGGTCTCAAACCTCTTTAACCTTGATACTATGTCACTGAATGATGCAAAGATGGATTAAAATAAAAAATTTCATTTTTTCTTATTTTTCTCTAAATATGTGAGTTAACACCTACGTAAAAATCGAATTTTTCAATAAATGCTATATTCAGAAGTTTATGCTCTTTATTTTTGATTAAAAGTTATCTTATCACATGCTACATTTATATTAATGTATGCTAATTGTATTTTCATGCTACATGAACATCGTTTCTAATTTTCCATCAGGTAATTTATCTAAATTTCATATACCACTTAATCAGTGGACAAATCCCCTATAAAAACAAATTTCTATTTTGTAGAGAAACATGAACACCTAAGGTCTAAAACCTCTTTAAACTTCATACTATGTTGCTAAATGATGCAAATATGCATTAAAAATAAAATTTTCATTTTTTCTTATTTTCCTCAAAATATTTGATTTAACCCCTACGAAAAAGTCGAATTTTTTAATAAATGTTATTTTCAGAAGTTTAGGCTCTTTATTGTTGATGAAAACTTATTTCATCACATTCTACATTTATATTAATGTATGCTAAATGTATTGTCATGCTACATGAACATCGTTTCTAAGTTTCCATCAGGTAGTTTATTTAAATTTCATATACCACTTAATCAGTGGACAAACCCCCTATAAAAACAAAATTCTATTTTGTAGAGAAACATGAACACCTAAGGTCTCAAACCTCTTTAACCTTCATACTATGTCACTGAATGATGCAAATATGCATTAAAATTAAATTAATTTTTTTCTTATTTTTCTCAAAACATGTGAGCTAACACCTACGGAAAAATCAAATTTTTCAATAAATGATATATTCAGAAGTTTAGGCTCTCGTTATTGTTGATTAAAAGTTATCTTATCACATTCTAAATTTATATTAATGTATGCTAAATGTATTTTCATGCTACATGAACATCGTTTCTAAGTTTCCATCAGGTAATTTAATTAAATTTCATATACCACTTAATTAGTGGACAAACCCCTTATAAAAACAAAATTATATTTTGTAGAGAAACATGAATACCTAAGGTCTCAAACCTCTTTAACCTTCATACTATATCACTAAATGATGAAAATATGCATTAAAATAAAATTTTCAGTTTTTTCTTATTTTTCTCAAAATATGAGAGTTAACACCTACGGAAAAATCGAATTTTTCAATAAATGCTATATTCAGAAGTTTAAGCTCTTTATTGTAGATTAAAAATTACCTAAGCACATTCTAAATTTGTACTAATGTATGTTACAATTTTTTCATGGTACATGGACATCATTTCTAATTTTTCAACAGGTAATTTATTTAAATTTTGTATACCATTTAATCAGTGGACAAATCAATTTTTCTGGAGAAACATGAACAGCTAAGGTTTCAAACATCATTAACCTTCATACTATGTCACTGCATGATGCAAAGATGCATTAAAATAAAAAATTTATATTTTCTTATTTTTCTCAAAATATGTGAGTTAACACCCCTACGAAAAAATTGAATCTTTCAATAAATGATATATTCAGAAGTTTATACTCTTTATTGTTGATTAAAAATTACCTAAGCACATTCTAAATTTGTACTAATGTATGTTACAATTATTTTCATGGTACATGGACATCATTTCTAATTTTTCAAAGGTAATATATTTAAATTTCCTATACCATTTAATCAGTGGACAAACCTGCTATAACAAAAAATCAATTATCTGGAGAAACATGAACAGCTAAGGTTTCAAACCTCTTTAACCTTCATACTATGTCATTGCATGATGCAAAGAAGCATTAAAATAAAATTTTCATATTTTCTTATTTTTCTCAAAATATGTTAGTTAACCCCTTCGGAAAAGTCAAATTTTTCAATCAATGCTATATTCAAAAGTTTAGGCTCTTTATTGTTTATTAGAAGTTATCTTATCACATTCTAAATTTATATTAATGTATGCTAAATGTATTTTCATGCTACATGAACATCGTTTCTAAGTTCCATCAGGTAATTTATTTAAATTTCTTATACCACTTAATCAGTGGGCAAACTCTCTATAAAAAAAATTCTATTTTCTAGAGAAAAATGAACACCTAAGGTCTCAAACCTCTTTAACCTTGATACTATGTCACTGAATGATGCAAATATGGATTAAAATAAAAAATTTCATTTTTTCTTATTTTTCTCAAAATATGTGGCCAAACCCTCTATAAAAACAAAATTCTATTTTCTAGAGAAACATGAACATCTAAGGTCTCAAACCTCTTTAACTTTCATACTATGTCACTGCGTGATGCAAAGACGCATTAAAATAAAATTTTCATATTTTCTTATTTTTCTCAAAATATGTGAGTTAATCCTACGAAAAAAATGAGATTTTTCAATTAATGCTATATTCAGAATTTTAGGCTCTTTATTGTTGATTAAAAGTTATTTTATCACATTCTACATGTATATTAATGTATGCTAAAATTATTTTCATCGTACATGAACATCGTTTCTAAATTTTCATAAAGTAATTTATTTAAATTTCATATACCACTTAATCAGTGTACAAACCCCCTATAAAAAAAATTCTATTTTCTAGAGAAACATGAACACCTAAGGTCTCAAACCTCTTTAACCTTCATACTATGTCACAAAATGATGCAAATATGCATTAAAACAAAATTTTCATATTTTCTCATTTTTCTTGAAATATGTGGGTCCCTATGAAAAAATAGAGTTTTTCAATTAATGTTATATTTAGAAGTTTAGGATATTTATTGTTGATTGAAAATTACCTAATCACATTCAAAATTTGTAATAATATATGTTAAAATTAATTTCATAGTCCACTTAATTAGAGGATAAATCCCCTTTAAAAAATCTATTTTTTGGAGAAACGTGAACAGCTAAGGTCTCTAACCTCTTTAACATTCATACTATTTTACTGCATGATGCAAATATTCATTAAAATAAAATTTTCATATATTCTTATTTTTCTTAAAATATATGAGCTAACCCCTACGAAAAAGTTGAGTTTTTCAATAAATGTTATATTCTGAATTTTAGGCTCTTTATTGTTGATTAAATGTTACCTAATCACATTCTGCATTTATATTAATGTATGTTTAAATTATTTTCATGCTACATACACATTCTTTCTAAATTTACATCAGGTAATTTATTTAAGTTTAATATACCACTTAATCAGTGGACAAACTCCCTATAAAAACAAAATTCTATTTTATGGAGAAACATGAACAGCTAAAGTCTCAAACCTCTTCAACCTTCATACAATGTCACTGCATGATGGAAATATGCAGTAAAATAAAATTTTCATTTTTTCTTATTTCTCTCAAAATATGTGAGTTAAACCCTACGAAAAAGTTGAGTTTTTAAAAATTTATATATTCAGAAGTTTAAGCTCTCTATTGTTGATTAAAAATTACCTAAGCACATTCTAAATTTGTATTAATGTATGTTAAAATTAATTTCATGGTACTTGGACATCATTTCTAATTTTCCAACAAGTAGTTTATTTAAATTTCATATACCATTTAATCAGTGGACAAACCCACTTTAAAAAAGAAACTATTTTCTGGAGAAACATAAACAGCTAAGGTCTCAAACCTCTTTAACCTTCACACTATGTGACCTTGATATGAACATATATATAGTATATTTTAATATATATATATAATTATTAGTGAAAATTCCTACTAATATGATTTTATTAACATTTGTATATTTTTCTCTGATAAAAATTTAAATAAATCACAAAATTTTAATGTGATGTTTTTCCAATACGAATTTCAAAATTAAAATATTAAATCCTCAATAATTGTCACTGGAAATTCTAAAATTAACATATTTATATTTTTATATAGTATATAATTTAATTTAAATTATATTTATATATATATAATATGAATATCTATAAATGAGACTTTATATTTATACGATTTATATTCATTTGTATCTTGCTTGAAAAAAAAAACTATTGATCAAAAAAATTCAATGTGGAACTTTTATCATTTTTAGTAATTTATAGTTTTTTCAAAAAAAAATATAAATATAATATATAAGAAAATAACTAAATTTTCTTATTATATGCTTAATGTGATTGTTTTGTTACAAAAAAAGATTGTTTAATTATTTTTAATAATATCAAGTTAAATAAAAAAAGAGAGAAATGATACAAAATTGTTATCAAATATGTATTATTCATAATCGTTATTGTCGTATATATGTTAATTTTATTAGGTTATTCCATAGCTTTTATTTAAAAAACATTCTTTTGTACACTTATAACTAATTTAATAATTAATTTTAATAAATAGTATAATATATAATTATATGCACCAACTTATTTTTTTTAAGGAATTCTGAGAATGTCCTAGTTATGGCTTACAAAAATATATTGTAATGCTCTAGAATTAATATATAGGGGATTCCATGTTATGTAATGAGTTTTCACATTACAGATATTTCACTGTAACTTTGGTCAACAGATCATTAAATTATGTGTCCGCTTGAGTTTGTGTTTACGAGTACCAAAATTTATTGACTGAAAAATATACTCTCTTTGTTCCTAAAAGATCCATATTCTAGTTTTTTCATACTTTTTAATAAAACACAATAAATTTGCATAGATTTTTGTATTTATTATTTCCATAATTTTAAACCAATAAAAAATCAATTAGTGCAATTAAGTTTTTTGAAGTTTACAATTAGTTAATAAAACATGCATTTAAAATGTAAAAAAAAAATGGATCTTTTAGAAACAAATTTTTTTTCTAGAATATGTATCTTTAAAGAAAGGGTAGTATCAATTACAAAATGTTGGCTGGCTCCTTCAAAATCAAAAGAACAGACAAATGAAAAAGAAAGGACACACACAGGTACAAGATGGTTAGAAAAGTGTAGGCTTTCTCCAACCACGAGCTTTCAATAAGGAAGGAGGCTTGAAGGCCAGACCAAACATCTCCTTCGTGGCTTTGCCTTGTTCAGTGAACTTCACAAGCTTGGCTACAACATCTGCGCTTTCCACAACCTGAGTCATGTCCTTGGGATTGCTCCAAAGCTTGTTCACAAGTTGTAAACGCCTGTCTTTGGAGTTAACCGCAATCCCAAACTTGTGATAGATTCTTGCCCTCTCTTCCTCTGAAAACCTTTTCTTCACAAGTTTGCTCAGCATCTTTCTCTCCTTTTCAAGCACCTTCCGGCTTTACCACAAAAAAAGAAAGAGTAGTCAGTCCCTTAAGCAAAACTGAAACAACCAAAAATTGCCAAAACGCTATTTATTATATATAAAACACCAAAGAAGAAGTATCTAACCTTGAAGCCAATGTTAAGGTTTCTCCTCCTTGCAAGGCTTGTTTTCCCTGAGAGAAGCGATCTTTCATAAATAAAAGTCTTCTTAGTTCAACTCCAATGTAGACTGAATCATCCTTATCATTTCCTTTGAAGAGCAAGTAAAAATATGTTCTATGAACCAAAGAGATGTTACATGTTCCCCATAGCACCAGAATCTCTTTCCTCTGTCTCTCAAAGTCTCCCTCCATGGAGTCTACAGCAAGCTCCCTCCCCATTTTACTAGAATCCTTATGAAAACAAAACTTGAAAATAAATAAGAAGAATAATGGATATAGTATATATTTATATGTTTTTTTTTTTAAAATGCACCTCTTGATGACGCTTAGCCAGCTCCTTAATCCCATCAACGAAAGCCCTGACGGTAGAGATACCTCCCTCTTCTCCCAAGGGCGTTGGGATGCCACTGGAATTGCAACTGCTCCCGCAAGAAGACATAGAATCCTTCCTCCTCGACACACTAGAACCCAACTCGAAATCAGGAAACACACTCTCTTCTTGTCTTTCTAGGAAGTCTGCCCCTAGTTTTTGAGGTGGAGTGCTCTTCTCTGGCACAGTATCTCTGTGGTTCACGTTTTGGCCTACTACACTCGTTTCATCATTAGCATACTCACTATGTCCTACAACATTTTTAGTTTCTTCTTTCTCCTCTTTGTGGTTGTTATTACTGTACACTGTGGCTGATTCCTCAGTCTCAATGCACTGAACTTCTCTGCAATATTCATCTGATGGATTTTCTGAACACATAGGCAGCTCTTCATTGACATCATCATCATCGTCAGACATGAAACTCCTCGTGTCTAAATCGACCACGCCTGATGTATCTGATACTGAACCATCATCCTCCCACTTGTTTGTGTGGTTGCCAAAATAGGGAGTTCCAGACTTCACCAGAGTTTAAAAAAAAAGTGATGATTAATTGAATATATTTGTTGCATAAAACTGAAAGTGTGGGAAGAGAAAGAGAGAGATACCTTCAAGGCATGATGGTGTTCAATCATTCTCATGAAATCTTCAAGCCTGGACTCAGCAAGATCCCTCTGCTTTCTCAACTTTGCAATTTTCGTTTCCATCTGCATAAACATTAAACCTTTATTACAAAACTATCCAATGTCACACCACTGAAAAGAAAATGAATGAAAGCCATTTCTTCTGAGTGTTTGCAAAAAACCACAAACCTTTTGTATCTGAACATCTTTCTTCCTCACTGTTATCGCACAATCACATTTTGAAGCAGGTTTTTTCAGCTGAGCCTTGTCTGACATGATCAAGGTTATCTTTGTTCAGGCTGCAGTTATTGCTTCAGCAGAGCCTTGTTTTCCTGAAACAGTTAACGTTAGACCTCTAAAAGATTGGAGTCTGTACTGCTGAAAGAAGTTCAAATAGCAGAATACTTTTTTTTGAGGAGAGACCAAAAGGGCCCTTAAATAATTGACAAAACTCAAGATCTGTGAGATCTTCACCAAACCAAAACTAAGAGATTAAAACATGAAACGTGCCTAGAAAAGGAATATCAACATGTTGTTCTGCTGAAAGAGAGAATAAAAAAAAAATGGAATCATTCAATGAAAAAAAACACACGAGATAAGAAGAGAAGACTTTGCTTTGTTATTATAATACTAGAGGTTTATACATGACAGTTCAATTAGGAGGTGGTTAACTGACTTTTTCTGTAATATATGGCCACCCATTACGCGTCCAAAAGCCACGTTTTACCAATCTTTACATTGTTTAATCTAAAAAGATGTCAGACAACACACAAAATCATAACCACACCTCTTGAAAAGATACTTGGATTATATTACGGTATAGGATACGTTTTTCACTATGTGTTTGTTAATATGCACCAACCGCAACCGTATATCCAAGCATATCATTAGAAAATGCATATGTCATTTCTTGGTCCAGATTACTAAGATTGTTTCCTATTTATATTATATATGGAAAGAGGTCTTTAATTAATTCTGTGGAGTTTTCTTCTTCATCAAGCCAAAGCCGTATTATCACTCACTGGCACTCCTAGCTCTGATCTGCAACAGAGAGCTTTTGGTTTTGCTTAGGGATGACTAGTTAAATGATGTTTTGCCCTTGAACCCTTTTTGGGATAGCTTAAACACCTTACCGCCATGTGGACCTCTCTACTTCTAAATCTGGGGGAGAGCACAGAGCCCATCTCGCAAGAGACATTTCTCTTCGGCCCATAAAACCTACTTATGTTACTAAATTTGGGCTTGCTTATCTTTTTTATTCAGTATTTAACGAGTATAAGAAATGTTGGGTATTAAGTATTAGCTATATGTAGTCTAATGTTACAAGTGAAGTCCAACATTAACAAATGATATACTGCTTTCTTGTTAGGTGTTCTTCTATGCATAATGTACTGTGGATGCTCTCTGTTTATAGTAATTTATGAGATTGATGTATAATAACGTTGACCGTGAGGAGTTATTTGTATATACCGATTGAATGCGTAGATGTAAAACAGGAGAAAATAAAAATCGATATATTATGGAGATTCATTGGAGAAAGAAAGTTAGAACAAAAAAAAATCTGAAGCAAATCTAACATAGCTAGATTTTTAGTGAAATCCGAATATAGGTACATGAGGAGAACTTTAAAGGAAGACCACAAGAAGGGTTAAGTGAGTTGCTTTCAACTACTTCTCGACCACCAATTTTAAAAATTGCTGGTGACATTTGGCCCACCCCCCCCCCCACCTTCTTGTCCTTTGATTTTTCATTTCCTCTTGTGGCTCTCAATTATAGGGCTGGGCATTTTATCCGTTATATTTGATTCGATTCGTTATTCGTTTCGATTCGATCCGAAAATTCCGAATATCCGTAAACTTTCGAATCAAAGCAAATATTAAAATTCAATATCCGTTAAAATCGAAGCAAATCACAAATAGTAAAATTTTGAGAAGCGGATATCCGATCCGATCCGTAAATATATAAATATATGTATATCTTGATTATATTTAACATTTTAAATGTATAAAATTATATAATTATTACTCTAGCATATGATTTTGAACAATTCTATTCAAATTATTACTTATATAAAAGTATTACATAAAGAGAAAGAAAGAAAATTATGACAATTATATTTTTTTTCTTAAATTTTGTGTTATTATAATTGTAACTTAAGCTTAAAAAATTACAAAATATATAAATTCACTAGTTCTTTTAATTTTTATTTTATATATCATGCAAAAAAATATTTTGCAAAGCAAATTTGTATCAAAATCTTAAGATTATTTGTATTAATCAAAATGGATGAGATATCCGTAAATATTCGTAAATATCCGCAAATATCTATTTATTTTCCGGATATCCGTTTTTCCGGATATCCGTATTTTTTCGAAGCAAAGCAAATACCAAAATTAGATATCCGTA